ATCAGTCTTCTTTATCACGCTTATATTTAATTATCTGAACAAACCCACAAAATTTTTATATGGTTTAAATGTCTACAGAATTTATACATTTATCCTATATACTTATGAAACAAAAAGGAGGGAAATAGAAATTATTGAAACTTTAATTCCTTTCAAACTCTTAAAATACGACAGCTGTTTTCAGTATGCGAAATCCAGATTGGTGTAAAATACATTCTCGATTAGTCAGGAATCTAATGAACCTTGCGCGAAAATAACACGACGCGAAAATAAACTCGCGATCCCAAGAATAACTCGCGCATAATTTAATTGTCATGCGGAATCTCTTAAGACTAATCTAATCTTGACAGAGGAGTGTCACGTACTTAGTCTAAGCTCCATCTCTATGCGGCAAAGTAATTAGTCGCGAGATAGAATTCTGTTTGCGTGATCGAGCAGCGACGTGTTACGCGATCTAAATGAAATACGATTTATCCTTAACGTGCTTCTAATCCATTGGCAATAATTGTAATGGCGTCATGTTGACGGTTTATTGCGAAACTGGCTAATGTCGATTTTATACGGGCAGCAATTTTTTTTGTGCCGTGTTTCCGTCGACGCGCGTCCATTTTTTTCTCGAAGTACCCTAATTAATAGCGATCATACCTCGCCATTGGATCACATCGGCATCAAACGCGAATGCAAAATGATACGTTCTTGCCGCGATTTGTCCATTTCTCTCTCACTCTCCTTCTCGATTAAACTGTAATTATCGTAGTTTTCCATACTATAATCATATAGTATAATCATACGTTACGCACGCTATAATTTGAAAATTGTTTTTCTTCAAATAGCGACAATCTATAAATAATTATGATAATTAGGTCATTGATCCTGTCTCGTAGATACATTTTTAAAAATATATTTAATGAAATTTATTTATACATATATATATATTTGAAAGTTCGAGAAATTAAAGAAAGCCGTAGAGCCGATCGACGGCGGTATGAAATTCACCTGTGATTCGCGGGAGGTATTCGATCTTCTGAATGAAACGATTTCCCGGTATCCCTTCTGTGCTGAATTGAAATTGGAGCCTGTGACCTGCGCGCGTTTCTTTCTCTCCCTTTTTTTCGCCAGGATAAAACGGCGATTCCGGTAACGCGATCATTATTCGGGTCGCGCCTGTGTCGATCCTCTCGAGCGACGTCCTTCGAAAGCGAGGCCCGGATGATGACAGGATTCTGGGTGGTCGGCCGTCGGTCGCGGCAAAAGGAAGCTGACGTCAGTAGCTCTCGGTCATATTTCTTCTGGCCTTAAAAGATCACGTGGAACCACGGGACCACCTTCTCACGCGCACGAGCATACACTATGGGACCGCACTCTTTCTCTCTTTCTCGTCTCTCTCTCTCTCTCTCTCTCTACCTCCTTCTGTGCGCTGCCCGGAAAGCTTCCGGTGAAGCATTCATCCTACACTGTTATGTGTGGCTTTGTAGGCACGTGTGCCTGTTTGTGCGATGGATCTAGGCTCTTTAAGTCGGACCGTGCCCGTTTTTCATGTGACACGTCTCCACAACTCCGAAAATGCATCCGAAGTTATTTGCCATTTATTCTTGTTAACGCTGAAGAAATGGAATCAAGGGAAAGAGAGAGAGAGAGAGAGAGAGAGAGAGAGAGAGAGAGAGAGCAAAAGAATCGCTCGTAACAACGTTGACCACAAGACTGCATTAATGCGTGTGAAGAGAACATATATATATAAGCATATATTTAAATAATTTAACACACGCAGTATTTCTAGAAAACAAATTATCTTCTGAATTAAAAACCGCATAAACTCTCTGTGTTTCAATGAATTATCACTATAATCGCCTGCATATTGCGTCCTATATGTACCTTTCAAGTCATATAGAATCACACTTCGGAACGAAGAGGAGCGCGTCGTCGATGTAAGAGTTAGATTTTCAGCCGGGAAGTCGATTGTTCGCAAATTAACGAGCGGGGCCGGGGAACGATGCACGTCCGGGTAATTTTGCCGTGCGTGACGTCGCGGAAGACCGACGAGGACGACGGCGACGACGACGACGACGACGGCGATGCATTCACGGCTCACGCGAGAGACGAGGTGTTAATTTTAACACAACACACCGGGCCGTCTTTTTTTTCTTGTCTCCACCGAGCTCACGTCCACCGGCTGTTCTCGCGCTCGTACTTTTTTGCCAAGTCCTCGCGAAGAGGCGCGCGATGGCTCAATAAGGAAATTCGAGCGATTTCGCAAAACCTCGCGCGCGAAGAGGAGAAAATAAAAAAAAATGGAAGATTGCCGGGGCCCGGCATATACGTATACACATATACTTATATGCGTGCCGCGCGCCTCTTTACACGTAACTCGCGAGAGCGACGTGACACGCGTGCCGCAACGCGAAACTACGGACGTGGCCTCCGCGCGCTGCATTATTATTAGCCGGCCGCGTGTGTGCGTGGATGCGTGCACGCAGATGTGCGCGCACGCAACGCGCGAGCTGCAGCACGCGATGCGCACGACCGCGGCGCGCACCTTTTGGCGGTCCGGTCTGTTCTTTTCGCGAAATTTGCACGAAATTTCTGTCCACCGCGTGATATCATATTTGTTGGATTGTTAATTGCCTTTTCCTCGTTTTTTTACATTTTTGTCTGAAGTGCGATTAATTATTATATTCATTTAGGTATTATTAGAGCACGTTAAAATATTTTTTTCTAATTATTCTATTTGTTTATTAATTGCTTTTTTCTGTTTTTAAAAATACATTCACTTATTATATTTTTATTGAATCACGATATTTCTACAACACATTAAAATATTACGTACATATATTTTAATTTAAAAATGCAATGTATTCGCTTATTTGACTTCTAGAAATCGTTTTAAAAATTAAAAGTCGAAAACTAATATATTTGACAACTCCTAATATGTTTGAATTAAGATGATGTATAGAGATTCCTTATCGATTTATGATTGTCGAATTTCAAGTAGCGAAGAAGGATATCGTTTCGGAGGCGATTAAGAAATCTGGTAGTCGCTCGTAAAAGGTGCCTCTCGTTTCGCCTAAACGAAATGCAAATTGCTAAACTCACGCAACGCGACATAAACGAAACGGTGAAAGTAATGCGCGTTATGCTTATCTCGTTGCCGTTGTCGTCGTAGTCAAAAATTTAACGAAACCGGTTTTGGGCGCGTGTGGGTATAGCGCGACGAGGAGAGGAGAAACACAACGAAGGCGATATGTAGTAACCAGAAGTCAGAAAGAAAACGGGAAGCAGCATCAAATTATGTAGTCCCCTCTTTCGTGATCGACGAACGATCGCCATGAAAAGGCTACGTAGTCATAGCGACTGATGATCGCCAGTTTTCTGGCTCGACGAGTCGTGTCTTTCATGTCTTCCTCCGGTCAGAAGGTGTTCGATCACCCAGACAGAAACCCGCTTCCCGTTCTTCAGCGAAGAAACGTGTGCCTGATGACTTATCAAATCGTTAGCGCGCGACGTTGTTCATCACGGAAATGAAAAGGACTCGTTTCGAGATTTATAAATACACTGAAAAAAATATTTATGAAATTACATGATTATGCTGGGTTTTTTTTCGACCCAGCATAATTATGCAATATTGCTACTCGTATGGAAGTATGTAATTTCATATGAAATATATTCTTATATATTTTCAAGATTAAAAATATTCCATTGAACATGGAATTACACATAGGAAATGCTAGTAATGTTATAAATTAAATAAATACTTATAAAATAAAGTTCTAATAAATTGAAAATTTAAAATTACAAGTGATATTTGCATAAAAATAATTTACCTATATTTTATATATACAATATTTTTACATTAATATGTATTTTCACTTAAAAAAATATGGAAAGAAAATTACAGTGGTTAAGTAGTTTTTCCAGTTTTGAACAAGTAATTTCCATGTATGTAAAATATGGATTTTTTTTCAGTGTACGATAAAAATATATATATGAATAATTATACTTTTTCTAGATTTTTGAAAACATATTGTCTTATTTATTTTACGTCATACTGAATGCTTTCTTGACACTATATAAGTGAATAACACTTAGGCACTAAATACAGCTGTCGGACTCTCTCAACCTTTGGCCGATGCGCAATTTTCGCATTAAGCGAATACATTCCTGTATCAGACAGTCGTATCTGCTGTGCTAAGACGTGGCGCTAAATAAGAAAGGAAATAAGCCCGGTAACACAATGTTTTTCGTGCAGACCGGCAGTTTGCTCGAAAGAGGCGAAAACGGCATTTCAGCGCTCCGTTTCTCGTCGATGACAACGCGTCGATAAATTTTCCCGCGTACCCCTGTATACTTACGCACGTGCGTGAGCGAGCTCGCGAATATAACGTTGCCACGGATCCAATTTGAGATAAACGCGCAAACCGGAAGGCGCATTGTTCGCGCGGAATAGTACAAATTAACAGATCGATATCGCGAGCCCGGCGCAATTAACATTGTGTACACACCGGCTCGGATCGGCTTTCTTGAAAATCTGACGGTTTAATTAGGGCGCCGGGGCCACCACCTTGTGGCAGATGCGGGGTCCGGTCGATTAATTAACAGGCGGCGGCCTCCGGGTATCGTTCGGGCTCATCTCGCTCATTTAAATCGACGCGGTTCGCGATAATCGTTCGCGTCTGCGGGGGAATTTCGTTTCCGCGTCTTTACCACAGCCGGTTGGCGGTTACTTTGCGATAAATCTCGACCCAATAAGCCGTTCGATCTTGACTTGTCATAATCTTACTAAAATCGCCCGCGAAGCAAAAGTTTCTCAAGAGAAGACGGGGGTTTATTATTAATAATTATAATGGAAACCACTTATGATAATTATATCTCGATGTAGATTAAGTAATTTTCTTAAATTGATGTTAATAATAAATTTATCGTAACAACTCGACATATTTTTATTCGAAATGCATATTGGCACAATATGTCAGATATGGTGAACGAAGAATTGATTTATTTTGCAGCTGTTCGAGCGTCACCGGTGAACATTGTCGCGACAGCGACGGTTGTGACGGAGGAAGCTCTTCTCGGTGACGAGGAGACCGAGAATTGCGAAAGCGAGTCCGCCAAGTCTGCGAACGAGGAGGACGAGGAAGTGGACGTCGATGTTGAAGAGTGCAGCAGCGTCGACGACGGGCCGGTCCACGGGGTGCTGGCTGACGATCTCGTCAGTATCGGGAAGCCGTCTTCGCGGAAGTGCAGCGCGGATGGATGCAACTTGGACGAGAAGAAGCAGCAACGTCTAAGGACCAGCTGCAATTCCGACGAGCTACGTGACGTCGAGTGCCAGCTCGAGACCAAAGAGCTCTGGGATAAGTTCAACGACCTCGGCACGGAGATGATCATCACGAAGACCGGCCGGTAAGTGACGCATTTCGATCAGGAAAAGGTTTCGATCTGCGGAACACTGCGAAGAACGCGCTAAGTCACGCAGAGTAAATTCGACGAAGTACTTGTTGAAGAAAGTGCGACAAATTTTTTGTAACATTTGAAGAAATTTTTCAGAGACTTTTTCAAACATTTTTTCTTAATCTTTTTGCGAAGGATGTATAATTTAAACATTGTGTATTCCATAAAAATGACAAAATAAATGAAACTTGCAGTACGTTCCGCAGGAATTCGAAACTCTTTATTCTTTTAAACCTATAAACTAATCTTAATTTTATCTATGCAAGTGCATAGCGATTCTCAGCGATATAAATATTCCAACAATTTTTTTGCAACGTTGATGCAATCAGTCTCGCAATAGACTGCTCTATTAACGGTAAACATGACATTTTACGTTCCCTCTTTCAACATCGGCGACTGAGGTGCTCGGCAATTATCTTTACGATATTGTAACGTGACTATGCGAGTGCTCATGTTCACGCGCGCGTTAATCGGTCGCATGTAAAGAGAGCGCGACACCGAGACGAGTGCCTTTAATGCGCAAGCAAATATAGCAGGAAAAGCCCCCTCGGCGGAAAGAACCCCGACGCGAATGTTATCGGTAGCGACGCTGGCCTGCTTGAACTAATGGATTTCATTGACTGACGTTTTACGAGATATTTAAGGGACTTTTAGACGTAATTTATCGCGCGCGTTTTACGTGCGGACGCGCGCATTTTTATAGATATGTTAATAAAGTTTGGCCAGGCTCCGCAGCTGCGAGACTCGAGATGCGTGACCATGTCGGAATTATGAGATATATATATATATATATATATATATATATATATATATATATATTCGTGCGTGCGCGTAGGGCTAATACTCGGGAGAACTACCTACCACCGGTTATCCTAAATGTGCGTGTATACGTATATACAAACCTTGAAGCGTTTCCTTCGATGATCGATGCACCCCATTATCGCTTGAAATTCGCGATCGCGATCGAGGAACCCGCGAAAGGCGGGACTTCATCTCTGGGAATTCTCCGAGATGCTGCGATCGAGATAATCTTCCGAGCTAATTGCGAAATACCGCGTATACCGAACACAGTCGGAATGTGTATCTTTCGTCGGCCGTGAAGTGCTTGCGATATTTAAACGCGTGTTTTATAATATTACTTATTAGTTAGATGCACAGTAAGAAAAAGCAGAAATTCGTTTAATGGAATATTTGTGTGGCACAGACCGATTTTACACGCATAATCGAAGAATGAATATAAAATATTAATCGAGAGTGCAACGGAGCATATATTTTCAATTATGACAAAATATTTTTAATTTAATACAATAATTGCAGAAAGAAATATTGTTTCTCGTAACAATTAATATTACGATTCTAAAGCAATTCTAAATTATATAAAATATATTTTAGATTGATTGGAACCACCGATAAAATTTTGCGCCAATTACCATCTTTCTGTCGTAATTTAATCTCGTCGTAGGTAATTCACTTAAGCTGTGCACCTTATTTGCAATCAAAGGCATATTAATCACTCGCTCCGCTGATTTTATTTTACTCGGCTAGCATTCTGTAGCGCGCTTGCAAAGCAACGTAAGCGCGGCGCTAGCATATTTTATGTGGTGCAGAAAGTAGATGATAATCCGATAAGCCACGCGATTGTAACTGTGAATGTGATTACGGATAAGCCGCAAGTCGTGCGCAATTATGAAGCGCGCTTCGAGAATTGTGCATATATATATACAGGTGCTTCCGACTCTAACGTTTATAATCGGATGTCTACTGATCTTACAATTACATTACACTCTAGATTGGTATTTCTCGAAATACATATTCGAGAGAAGGAGCTTTATCGAGATTCGCTATCTTTGTTATCTTTTCTGTCTTTTCTTTCCAAGTTCATATTTATTTAAATTGTTAATCGAGCAACAGCTTACGAAAGTGGAAGCCCGAAGCCTTCGTGGACTTTAAACGATTCTCAGATCGCCGTATACTAGTTAATTCTTTCTGGATGTGTATATTTTCTTGCTCCTCCTCGGGTCGCGTAGCGGCTTTTGCCTCGGGCTGTTTGTCGGTGGAAATGTAGCTGTTACTATAAAGCGCAACCTTGAAGTGTTACCGCGGTGATCAATGTCGGATACGCCATATGTGTTTGTCCAGCTTGCTCGGATATTAGATGTACTCCGGATAAGCTCCGCGCGGCTTGGCCATTAACGCCCACGATTCCTCCTCGTATGTGCAACAATGTGTGACATATGACACGTGGTGCTATTACGTTGCTATCTTGTTCGTTGAACGAGGAGAAAGCCACGTGTTAGATAAATCGTGCGCTGACTCGTTTGACTTCGTCATTCATTCCCCGATTGCGATCTTGACGATAGTTCTGCGTCTAGAAATACTCGTAGCGGAGTATCAATACCTCGCATAGTGTTTCGTTATCCCTGTAGCAAATTTCAACCTTTCATGAATCTCGAAATCCTGTCATCGTTGAGAAGTATGAATGATACTCGAGACTGACAATTTATAATGCGCTAAATTAGACTGACGCGTGTCACGTTTTTTTTTCTCTTCAATTTACAATAAAGAATACAGCTGCTGCGCGCGATGCAAGAGATAGGGAGAGACGATAAGCGATAAGCGAGAATGCGATTTCTGATAAGCCGATAAACCTCTAATTACGAAATACTTAGCGGCTCTCTCTCGAGTAATTATCTACGAACCTCAAGATGTCGGAGGCCACCTTCCAGCAGGCGCGCAGACTTAAGAACGCGATCAGTCCTGCTACATTATAGTGAAACATACATGTGTGTTTACGCCAGCACGCGGAAAGCAGATGATAATTGGATAAACCGCGTGCGTACGAAACGATTTCGGATAAGACGGACGGCGCGTAATTACAAAACGCCGCGAGAGAGCCTCGGGTATGGAGAGAAGAGCGATGATCGCCTGAGAATAATCCGTGCCGCAATCCGTGCAACCTTGAGACGTCGTCGCGGAGAATGAACGGAAAGGGGAAAGCGATATGAAAGTTGCAAACCATTCGCAATGTTGAATAGGATTAAATGTACATTGCAATTGATAAGGGGAGAGCGTCTGATAATCGTGACGTCTGAACAAGATTTTTAATAAGAATCGAGACGGTTGAAAGGAGGGTTTCTGCGAATTAATTAACGATATACTTTTAAGTGGTGCTCGGGTAAGAGAGGTGATTCCAGAGTCTTTTTGACACGGCACAATGAGTTGCTAAGTATATTTAAAAAATTTCGAAATAATCCCAGCGTGTATCGTTGTTCGGCTAGGCAACGACGATCGATATATCAAGGAAACGCGGTATTGCACGAATAGCGTCGTTAGCAACTAGCAACAATTTGGCACGAAATCCCAGCTGAGCTCTGAACGTCAGTCTACTGAGTGACAATACGAATTCGGATACCAATCAGGTGGAATTGTTTGGCCCTACAGGGTGCCAAGACCGTAAACTTCTCCGGTTCCTTTTCAACATCTCGGAGAAAGAGAGAGAGTTTCATTTTCCCACGTTGGCACCCGCCACTTTTTAAAATATTTTTTTCTCTCTCTCTCTCTCTCTCTCTCTCTCTCTCTCTCTCTCGTCTTCTTTTGTCGTTTCCTTTATATCCCACTATTTAATGATTCGCAAGGAAGGAAATCTTTAAAACGCGTAAACTGACTGGTAAACAGAAACGATCTCTAAAGAATCGTTCAAAAGGAAATAATTCTCTGACAACGGTTCGAAAAAAAACATACAAACAATCAATTTATTACGGACGTTGTGGACATCTGAAAAGCCGACGACAGGCAAAGGCAAAAGGAAGGATAATAACACGGGATTATTAATTGAATTTTTAGTTTTGAATGATTCAAGTATATACATACATACATATATAAATGACAGTTTTTCCGCGTCTAATCTCGAAGAATTAAAAATTTCATACGGTTTTCGGTTTTTGACAGATATCATCATTAATTATCTGGCACTTGTTTGTTAGGATTCCCATCCGCTTTTTCGGCGCGTTCCGGAGAGCGCAAGTTCTTGGTCGTATAGAGACGCGATGGAAAGCAAAATGGTCGCCGAACTCGGTCTGCGAGAAGAACGCTATCGTTGCCGTCGTCGTTGTTGTCGTTGCGGCCGGTGCGTTTTTTTCAGCGTTTAAGTGGGTAACCGTGGACTGCGAGCCTCGCACGGAATAGGAGGTGCGGACGAGCAGGTCAGGAGAGAGACAGGATACCGGCGGATAGAGGGTACTCGTCACGCGAACCCTTCATCAAGGTGCCAGCAACCTACATTATACACTCACACGCGACCCTGGGACGATCGTGTGCACGTTACACCGCGGAGAACATGCACAGAGAACAACGTGTCGAGAGAAAGAGAGAATGAACGAAGTAGGGAAAGAGAGAGAGAGAGAGAAAGATCGAAAGAAGGTGGAGAGAGAGAGGGAGTAGGGGTAGATAGACATCTCTTCATTTTAGACCCCATTTTCGCGCGGTTATACGAACTGCACATAATAAATACGCAGGGTAATAGCCTTAGAAGGCCTCCGAATGGACTAAACATATTAATGAATAAATACGAGGTATAACGTAATGCGAGATGGAGATAAAGCGGAACTTGCGGATTAAAGACTTTACATCTCGCATTATTAAAGTAGCAGCGCGATGATAAAAATATATTTTTATATATAATAATTAATATAGCTCGCCGAGACAGAGAGAAGCATAATTGACGAGTACGCGATGTTCGCAGATTTCTTATTACTAGAGCACCCCTAATTACTGAAACATCAATTACATTTGCGTCAAGATGATATTTAAGAATATAATTGTATTAGAAAGTCGATACAATTAAAATACGAATTATGACGAGAAATTATTAACGCGATGACAGTCCGCGGTATATTAATTATAAAATAACAATATTCCCGACACTTTTCAAACATATTCTTTCCCGTATCTCTAGAATATGCAAATTATGATATTTTACCTTTTCTATCTCTAACTGAAACACGACACGTTTCGACACTCTTGTACCGGCAGTTGAAACAGTATATTACATCGTCTCGCTTTCTCTTTATTATTTTTTTTTTCACGCAAGGGTGGAAATATCCTGTCGTGGACGGTGTCACGATCGTCGGGACATGAAACGCGCGACAGCCGCGGTATAATTACAATACGGCGACTTTCCCTCTCTCTCTCCCACCTGGCGTATATACGGAGTCGTTAACTCGGCAAACATTTTAGGCTTAACTCAGACGGTGGTATAATATCCAGCGCTTCCGTAATCCATTTGTAGGAACTCCACCGGTGGAGTCCTTCCTCGGGGGCAGTTCGGGCCCTCCGTCGCGAAGCGAGAAAGATATACGAGTGGTTCAAGGCAGTTCTCTCGGGGTGACTCGGGGGGTCGAGGTGTTTCTGCGATTACGGCCTCGTTAGCCACGGGCCATCGAGGACTGCTTGTTTGTTTCCGCCTAATTTGATGGGGAAACGCGTCGTAATGTTGGACGCGCGAGTGCGCCCCGACGAATTGGGAGCGATCCTATGGCGTTGGAATTGGAGGTAAATTAACCGCAGGTGAAATTAGAACGTTTGTTATCGCGATCGTATATAGGCTGATGGGATGAGAAACGCTCGGATCGGGATTAAGTCGCGATAATTGTTTTTAGGGAACAATTAAGTTGTGTAGAGTCATGTGGCGAGCGAAGTCCTTAATTATGCATGTTATATATTATGACTATAATCATAACTGAGTCTACAAGATATGGTGACATTTGTTAATTGATTATCGGGAAAATTTATGTAGAGGAACAAATGCACCTTTACCAAGTTAATTGCAGAGTCAATTTAAAAAAAAAAAAGAATAATTATTTTGAGAATATTGGAAATTAAAAAGTCTGCGCGAGGAGCGAATTAATTTTTGCATTTACAATTCTGAATGAAATTTACATTGAGAGAGACACTTGTATAATTTAATATTATTTTATATACTAAATGTGTGTTTGTATGAAATCATTATTTCTCAAGGATATTATAAAACAAAATGATGCTACTCCGATATGGTCGACAATTCCAATAGCGATACGAAAGTGCCACGCGTCGCACGAATTGACTCGATCCTCGTAAAAACATGAGTCACTGAACACGGGATTCATAGGGTAGGTACAAGTGTAATGCGCGATAGAGATCGCAAGGGTGGCGGATCTCGAGGGAGAGCGTCGATAGCTTCGCCATCGATACTTAAATAGTCGGCGCGCTTATCCGCAAGGAGGGTAATAGAACCCCCTATATCGTGCTAATTTTCCGGATGATTTATCGCGCCTTAATGTTTACGGAAATGTGACACTCGCGTATGTTATATGTGCGTGTCTGTACCACCGCTAAAAATACCGGCGAAAACAGTAGTGCGCGCGATCGCGAAATTCGAGGCGAAATTTATTCTTAGCATAATGCGCATAGCAGCAGGTGAAAGTCGAGCACCATCGAGTTCTTCGGAAGAAACGTCGTCGTCCACGTCAAGGCTGGCTTCGGGCGATAAGCGAGTAAGCTGCAGCTGCTTCAGGGTGTTACAGGCTCGAAGGAGGTGCAAACGATCCTGATGATTCTTAAGAATGTCCATCCACAGTAATTGAGATAGTTAAGTAATCGCGATCATTTCTCGATGACGAAATTAATTATTCGCATTAAACGCTCATGCGTGAACAAGAAAATTACCATTCATTTCGACATCATTTTTTTTTCATAATAATTTAGAGCGTTTTATCAGATGTCGAAAGATACGTGAAATCGCACCAAGAAATATCGAATTACAAACGCGACGAGAGTCTCACGAGCTAGTCGCGAATAAACAGCTCGCTTGCGTCTCGTGCTTCGAAAATGTGCGTGCGAATTTCGAATGCACCATTCGGTTAAAGCTCCTGGCCCGACAATCGTGTCGTTAAGGCGCGCCGGGCCCCGTGGCGACGTAACGACGATACTATTCAACGCGGTTGGACAATGCCCTTGTTAAAAACCGCACGAACCGAACGCGTACGTGCCGAGGAAGAGGGAGAGGATCGCTTTCGAGGAGCTCGTCGAAACCGCAAAACCGCTTCGAGGCGGTGAGTTTTGCGTCGCGGGGGACCGGACCCCATCCTCTCTTTCGCGGGGCCCGTCTTCTCCGGGGCTTACGCGAATAGATGATGGCAGAACACTCGCGTGACACCCTACTCTTATCTGCATTCGTTTAAAGCCCTTTGGCCCTTCCCCGGCTTTGTTTCGTTCAGTTCCTTGCGAACGAGTCCTGCGGCTTCGGGGTTTCGTTAAAGGAAAAGGATCCCTGTCATCGGATAAATAGATCTAGAAAACCGCGACGATTACCCTTGCGGTTCTGTGAAAAAAAATTGACAGGAGCGATGGTTTTCGCCCGGAACAAGGATCCGGACGAGAAAAAATACGGGCGCACGTGTTATATATGTGTGTGTGTGTGTGTCTGTGTGTGCCTTCAACTCTTTTACATAAAAATAATAACAAACATTTTCGTGAAAATGAAGATTAACGCAATTGCAATTTTTTTAAGTGAGCGGACATATATATATATATTTATATATATTTGAGAAGTTTGAATAAAAATTTATTTTATAAAAAAAATTCAGGGCTAGTAATATGTTACTTCTTCAAAATATGTACATATACATTTTTAAAAATATGTTTTAGCATATTTATATATGCATATTTATTCGTAGTCCAGCAGCACTCATCGAACTTTCTAAATATAGGCACTAAAAAACTTATGAAACGTAATAGTTTTTTCAGTAGCGAAATATCATTAGTCACGATATTATCCAACATTACAAATCGAGACAAATTAAGAATCCATCCCCGATCTTTTAAATTGTTAGTGGATCAGAGTTATCTTTGTTGGAATCTTTAATATTCAAATCTCATACTTTCTAAATTGTATAGGGCTCATCAATTTCGTACTAATCGCCAATTAATCAATTCTCGCTTCAATGGGACGCAGATGTTGTCTCCATATATGTAATTGTGATAAATTAGTATATGAAACACACGTTAATAAATTTCGATATTTGTTTGCACAGCATTATCTCCATGTAATATCTACTTGCGCGCGACTCGCAGTAGCTCAGATTAATATATTACCAGTTATTCTCCACATAAGAAACGCGAGAATCCCGCAAATTTGACTAGACGCGAAATATTGATAGGCAGATGTTCGCCATGTGATCACGGCTAATAATACGTGAATTCCTGCATAAATTATGAAAATCATCAGATACAAAAAAAGAGAGGACACTACTTTCGATATCAATCCGTTCAGTCTCTTCGTAACTATACATTTCACGTCCTTCAGAGTCCTCGGTACTCGATAGGCCGCTATTTCAACAATTCTCTGCTGCGGAAGGGATTCCGGTCTCGTCGAATCGATTTTTCTCAAAAACGGCGATTCGCTCGTCGACGGTTCTCCGACCACTTCTAACTTTCTTTGCGACAAGATCTTTCGCATGATCGCAGGAATGTCTATTTTTTCGGGTCGAGGAGTAGTTTTCGGGATAGAAGAGACTTTAATCAGAGCGATCCTGGCGAAAGATGACGTTTTGGAAGTCGATTCGTCGTCCGTCGAGATTGCGGATGTGCCGGGGATATCTGCCTTTAAAGGTTTCAGCAACATCGGGCTAAATTCATCCGTCACGAAGGATATATTCTTTCTTGATGTGGTAACACTAGTCGCATCGACGTATTTCTGACGACGATGACGATGATGATGATGATGGTGGTGTTGATGATGTGCTCTTAACGGATTGCATGGTCCTGGGCAAATCATTGGTTGACCTCGACAGACATGTCGAGGTGGATCCGTCATCTTCGGATTTCCTTGTCGGACCGATCAAGCGTCTGGAACAAAAATGATTACATCATAGTTAATAATGTTTAAAATTATTGAGAAAAAAATAATTTTGACGTATCGTAATCTTGATGAAAATAAAACGTAAGAAAATCTTGTATTTATTAAATCGCGTTTCACACAGCATGCAATTATTTGCGTAACAAATATTACGGAGCGAAATGACGCGATTGCGTTTTAAAATAGGTATGTTACGTTCATCCCCGCGCGCAGCCGCTTTCCGCGATAAATTAACCGGGACTCAGTTTTTCACCGTGAAAAAATCGCTATTGACGTATCTGCCATCTGACCGTAGAATTCCGTTCTTTCTCGCGGCGCGTAAATCACGTGTCTATCGCATGCGATCGCACGAGAGGACGTACATTGCGGGGTCGGGGTAAAAGCCTCTCTGACCGGGAACCTGGGGACGAAGGAAGGTCAGGCTTTCCGTGTCGCTATGCCGCGCCAGCGGGATATCCAACAACGGGGTGCTCTTGCATCGACGTCGACGCGCGACGAAGGCGCGTCCGAACGGCGCGTGCGCCCTGACGTATTCCTCTCGAGGTGTTGAAAAGTCGACTGCATACACCGACGGGATTCAAGGCTCCGGGCCTTGGTCTGTTAGTGAAACCCGAAGAACGGACGTTTCTTCCGTCAAGTCGTCTGGAAATTTAGCAAGGTGGTCATGAAATTGTATTTAGACAAAAAGAGATATGTATGACAAAGTGATACGTATACACTTCGTCAAAAAGATATAAAACCTCTTCTTATCTAGCAATCTTTTAGAGCTGTATAGAGAAACATTTTTTTCTGTTTAAAATAAGATTATAATTTATTCTGAAGTTAACAATAATATAATAGAAATATGAACATTTAATTTACAATACTAAGTAATATATGCATCTCTAAAAATCAAGAAACGTATTTTGATTTATCAACAAAGAATTATATGCGTATTAAAATATTTATGTCGCTGAGGGAATTCTTGTACAAATGTTTTATAATTAACAAATTTTATCGTTTGGGATTATACGGTTATGAAAGCGGAATATATGCCAGGAATAAATTTACCTTTATTTTGTTATGTCATTTTATATTTCCTGGAAGAGGTTACATTCACATCGTTGCGAGAAAAATCGAAACTCATTTATGTTTGTCATTTTCACGTTTTACAATGCGATCACATGCAATTGTTTGACAAAATAATATATAATTAAATTGCACAATTACGTTTGAATTTTTATGAATGATTTAAGATCGCGTTTTTGAACAAACTAGAGATTAAGTTTAATTACAAAAGAGTCTACCTTGAAAATATAATTTTTCAAAAGTACAATTATTTAGATACTTATGTAAAATTTATGGTTTTCGTCTTTTCACAGACGAATGTTTCCAACGTGCCGCGTGTCTTTCAAGGGACTTAAGTCTGAAGGTCGTTACGCAGTGTTGATGGATATTGTGCCGGTCGACAATAAGAGGTACCGATACGCCTATCATCGTAGTTGCTGGCTAGAAGCCGGCAAAGCAGACCCGCCGGCGCCCGCGCGACTTTATGTTCATCCCGATTCTCCCTTCACCGGCGAGACGTTGCGGAAGCAAGTCGTCTCCTTTGAGAAGGTGAAGCTGACCAATAACGACATGGACAAACATGGCCAGGTAAGAGAACCGTCTCGCATGCTTTATTAAGAATTTTATTAATAGATGTATATCTCTTTTTCTTTTTAAGAGCACTAATTTCATGAAAATTTTAATTGCGAAAAAAATATTAGGATTTTATATTTATTCCCCTGCAATGTATCATGTACGAAGATTAAAGCTACCATTTCATGTGCAGCATACTGTTGCAGCAGTCTATTGCTGTTGGTGAAGTTCAATTAAATGAACAGCTAAGGCAGCAAATCAGAAGAACACGCAACTAGTTGATTCTAATTATTATTATATTAGTTAAATAATGGATTTTTAAGAATAAAATAAATTAATATGAGAATATAAAAGCAAAAGTCGTGATTTTAACTTTGAAATAATAAGAGAACAAAAAAATATGCTCTAATAAATTTTAATCACGTGACTGATTTGCTGCTGCAGTATGCTGCGTATATGAAAAGGCACCTTAAGATTGCAAGTTTTAGCTGCGAGTAATAGATTATCGCAAACGATGCAATCACTCTAGTATCAAAGAAAATAGTTATTATCGTTTTCGGATATAAATATCGGTGACTTTTTCAAATTTCTATCGCACCTCGTAATCAGAGAGAGAGAGCTCATTTCGACATTAAATCGATTAAACGTTCACGCGTCGCTAGAGAAATGTATACAAGTCGGCTGCTCTGATCTCCATATATAATCTCCGTCCTGGAGGATAATTTCGCGCGCACAGGATTTTCCTCCTCGGGCGCAGAAATTGTCGACGATAAGGCGCCCCATGCACCCAGGCCATTACGCCGTTCTGTAATTTGCGCCTGCCTTTCAGCGGATGCGTAATTCCTGGGCTGCACGGCGTATCTCCCTCTTTATTTCGGAGTTTAGCGCACAATAGCTGGCGGACGCAAAATGTCGAGCCCGTTGGACATGCTACCGCTATTACGTGGCGCGAGAGAACCTTCTTCCCTTCGCGTTCGATTATGCCCCGAGGATATAACTTCTCGCCCTAGGTGGATATAATTCCCTCTCGGTGATTACATCACGATTATAAAGAAATTTCTCAGTCGAGAAACGAGCAGAGATTTCAGATTTGACATTTGCTTCAGAGATATTATTAAATATACTTATATTTTTTATAATACTTTAATTTTAATATTGAATATGGTATGAGTTATCTCAATATTGGAGCATTATTAAAAAAGAAAAAAAAACTAACCATCATTAAATTTTAGCTGTCATAGCTAAAGTTTATAATAAAAATTCTGGAAAGAGAGATGGCTCTGTCTCCGAATATATTCGACCACTGAATAAGCTATATACACGGGTCGGTTTAACGAACGACTAGCGCCAACGACGTTGGCGATGCTTGCATTGTCGTTTTTCATGCCTTCATATCAATTCCCTCGTCCTTCTCGCTCGCTCGCGTGATCGTTGACGAGTCCTCGAGCGATCGCGCGCGCCGAAAATGGCCTCGTAAAACGAATGCGGCGGGACATCGCCCCATCAGGGTGAAAGCGTGGGCCTGGTTATCATCGGCGCGAGTCGTTAATCGTGGGCGTCGATGTTGCCAGGAATGTAATATTCCGTTCTCTCGCCATTGTCGTCGTCGTCGCCGTCGTTGCTGGTCGATCGATGACAACCGGTCGTGTCTCGCTGTCCGCGAAAACTTGTCTCTCGACGAAAGTGACGTGACAAAATATTCGAAACTTATTTATTTTTATAATTAATTTTTTCAGGCATTTTCCTATACTTATTAACATGATTAAATGCGTGAATTTACGGCGCGAGTTTCATCCCTTTATCGCGAGATTAGCGAAACTTTTAATATTTCGTTATCTCTCCTGACATCTCGTTAAACTCTCGATAAAAGTTAATCCTCGGTCTCTGAAATATCTCTTTTATTTCTTAATTGAGACCACGTGCTTCAAGCGTTTTATACGGCAAGGTATGAATAAGGATTAATTAAACGGTTACTTTAACTTAATTTCAGAACACATTGATTTTCTCAGAAACAGTAAAAATTCGATACCTGATATATACGAATAATGTTAATGAAACGAGATATTATTTAAGAGATAAAGTCGTACCTATAAAGTTCCATTTATGATTGATTAAAAAATCGTGAACAGAAAGTCAATAAAAAATCTCTTGAGCATTGTAAGAGTATAACTTATTTATACATTAAAATTTACATGCATTTAAAAATATTCAATATATGTATTATTCTCGCGCACATAATTGATAATCATAATAATAATAATTCGTCAGAATTACTTTCGTTTTTAATCGCCTCCAACTTGGCAGCAACTTTTAATTTTAATTTTATTAAAAAGGAATTTTCTCGATAAGATACATCATTCTATTTTTCAAATCATATCACCGGACCATATATATACACTATATAATATATAGCATCAAGGAGTTTAATCCTCCTTAATGCGTCGCGATGATCTCTCACCCCCGGGATCCACAAAATATCACGGGCTTCTCGGGACCGTAAAAATTGGGACTCTATTGGGGAGAACGAACACCTCGGAAGGGTGGAACGGGCCCATCGAAAAGCAGGAGAGGGAACTGCTAGGTTGGGAACATGCCCATAATGTTGCGGACATTATAGGCGGTCCGTAACCGGTGTCGTAGGTGGTGTATAATAGGTAGTACGAGAAGACGCGGCGTTGCCTATAAGCTAATAAATTGAACGGATGTTTGCCCCGAGCTTTTGTCATGATGATCACGGGTAGCCTACGCTTGGGCCCCGTCGAGCACCTTTTGAATCTCACCTTTCTCTCTCTGTCTCTCTAGAGGCGACTCGCTCTTCCTGCTTCGTCGTGTTTCTCCCTTCGCGAGGACGATGACGACGACGAGAGAACGCGTGTAAACGCGCGCACGCATGCGTAAATACTTTTCGGGGCTTTATCCGAGAGAAGGAGGAGGAGGATAAATCGTAGAAATGATAATCGTGATGGGCGCGAGTTCCCGTCTCATCGTTCGTAAATGTTTTCGTTTATCTCCTTTTACGCCGATTGACTTGAATAAATGGTAATCTCGTTGAGATTAAGTGTCGGCGAGAGCACTCCTGCTACATGTATTTTTGTGATGCTGTGCTTGATCTTTTATTAACTTTACCAAAGTTTTATGAAACATTTAGTCGGGTGCTCTTTATGAATATACGTGGAAAAGTGTAAAAAAGTTCTAACATTTTCAATAGATTTTCTCTGTCGCGAATTTATAGCTCTTTGATTTCTCGTACATAATCTTTAAAAAAATTATATCCTTATTACGAGATGGTTGATATTCGCAATATTATTTTTTTGCGTTATGAAAAAATTAATGTTACGAAAAAAGGCATCTTATTGAAAATCTCAACTTTTCGGAAGATAAGCCGAATGTTTAGTCAATGATATATATATATCAACAATTTTCGCCTGAATATCGCAATCTTATGTTAATATTTTACACATGCATTATTTTTAATGGCAATATTACTGTCAGTATCACAATGTTTATCGCAATATTCGTCCATTGATACAGCTCGTAAAAGTGGACATAATACATGTGTCAGTGTATAAATTCTCTATACATCGAGTAGGCGGATGCGCAAATATAAACTGTTAATAAGCATAAAATAACAAGTAGATCCGAGCGTTAAGAAACCGACGAGTATCACTTCCGACGTTCTTCAAAATGTTTGAGAACTCTGGTCCGCGTTCTCCCTCGTAACACAATCTCCTTTTAAAACCTTTGATTCCTCGTCACGGTCGATTTGCGTTAAACTGCGATCGGAAATAATTCATAAGTCGGTTTCGATGAGAGCCCTAACAGCACAACATATCCGAAAGACGTTCAGAGGATATCCTCTGGATGTCTTCTGCACGGAGAGAATTTCCTCTTAGAATTTACCCTCAAAATTATTAATCGTGGGACAACACGATATTGGAAGAATTTTATAATTTCTCTGATTAATATTTACCACAATAAAAATATTAATTTAATCGAACATATTTTATTGTGGTAGATATTAATATTTTTGATTGTGGTAAATATTAATTAGAGAAACTCTTATAAAATTCTTCCAATACCATGCATATTACCCCACGATTACCATGATTTTTCGGCTAAACTCTAAGAGAAAATTCTCTCAATGTGGATATCCTTTGAACATATCTTTTGGATATATGCGATGCCGTTAGGGGAGAACGAGAGAAAGAAAAAGGAAGGAGAAAGGAAAAAAGAGATTATGCTCTCTCTTTCCTGGGGGAATCGAGACGAGTTTCGTGACGAGGAACTCGTATTCCTTTCCGGCTGTGCACCGGCATTTGCCAAACACCCTGTACACGCGCGCGGAGAGAAACAGAGAAGAAGAGAGGAACGCGCGCGAACAGACACACCGGTTGAAAGCGGTCGGTCGAGCCGGGCGAACCACGCAATGCCAGTCAACTCAACTCGACGACTCGAGTGGTAGGGAACATTCCTTCGCTACGGCCACTATTTCATCGTTTCGTATGACACGATATTATAAGACCCCCGCCTGCGACTCTGGCTACTACACGGTGGTCCAAAAGCGGCCATCTCTCCACCTTGCGCGCGGACGCGATCTTTTTCTCCTCTCGCCGGAATTTGTAATCGGCGGACCCGCGCCGATATCAAATCTGTCTGTGAAATATATATTTTTATTGCCGCCGCGCCGGTTATTTCAATTTTCTAACGTTTATTCCGCTACAATTACCGCTACTGTTTATCACCATCATTAGTCTTTCATCTGTAGAAATTATTCCACTGTGAATATCTTATATACCCTACACGTGTATGAATATTAATTCTCTGTCTCTGCGATCATCGTCGCTTTTTGATTATGCATACGATGTTACACGTTTTATAATGGGAAAAATAAAAAAGATCGGAATGCATAACATTTTAATTATTACTTAATTAAAATATGTTTTAATAAAAGAATTATATTAAAAAATAAAATTTATGTATAAAGTATATTAGAATTTCTCTTTTAGCGTGAAAAG